GAATAAAAGTAGAAGAGGTCTGCGCATGAGTTGGGAGTCTACGCGTAAGCTTTTTAGCCAGTGTTTTAGCTAGACTATCCCAGTCAAAGGTTTGTCTTCGCTGGAGCAGGTTACTGACGAGCGCTGTCGTTGTGAATCGTTTCAAGTTTATTAATTCACTTGTCCAAAACTTAGCTTGTGCAAGGGCCATTGTTGTTCCTGTACTTGTGCGCAAGTAGACCTTTTTCTAGTTACTATGTACCCGATCTGAAGTGCGGGTACAGTGGATATACTGCTTTTTCTTGCTAGTAGCGTCTCGTACAGAATTGTAATGGCTCGTCGATTCTCAGGCAAATTGACAAGTGGCGAGATGGAAGTGTTTTCCCAAGTTCTTGTCTGTTTAGCTAAGGATAAGAAAGACCTTTGTCAAGTCGCAACAAGTCGCACGATGCGGTACCTTATATCGGGAGTTGGTTCAGGCGACATGCTAACTTTCTGGGGTCGGCCATTGTTCGCCGAGCACGTCCTACTTACTGGAATGGACACGCCATCATCATCCGCTTCCAGCTGGAGGGATGGCTTAATTCCGGGAGGTGCAGCCCTGGTCGGACTACTTGAACAGCTAGGCGATATGGAGACCATTGTTCCCTTCAATGTGTATCATCCGCATACCGTGCCCACCGATCACAGTAGGCTGCCGAATATTGCCGTTCCTTTATTCACTCCTGAATCAAGTGGACCAGTAAGCCGACGGAGAAGCGGCCCAGCAAAAGTAAAACAAGCGGACTCACACCGCGATAGACAGGAGGACCAGCAAGCCAACCAACAAGTGCTCAACCAAGCGGGCGAACAAGCAGTTGAAGACGTTTCGGAACAGCCGATCTTCTTTTTCGAATTTTCCGAGAAGGTAGGGGACCGTGTCAGATATTTAACTGTGATAAAAGTGGAGAAATGCATGGCCATTCAACGACACGCAACTCGCTAACCGTTGAGCAGATGTCCCGTGGCGTAGCATGGCATGTCATGGAAGTTTATGGTGCCCTGTAAGAAGGCCTTAGGCCTGTGGGGATTGCCCTATCAAATATTTGATAATTTTGTTGCCTGTGTTGAATTGCGTTTGGAGAGAATGTTCATAAGCGATATAGAGGAGGACTACCATGCTTGGCTCCAGCATCAATCACACAAGGTAACCAATTGCTCTAGGATAATTTGAAGCTCTGAACTTGTCAATCATTTAAATTTATTATTATATTTCTCTCTCTGTCTCTCTTTCTCTCTCTCTCCCTCTCTCTCTCTCTCTCTCTCTCTCTCTCTCTCTCTCTCTCTCTCTCTCTCTCTCTCTCTCTCTATCTCTCTCTCTCTCTCTCTCTCTCTCTCTCTCTCTCTCTCTCTCTCCCTCTCTCTCTCTCTCTCTCTCTCGCACTCTCTGTCTCTGTCGCGCGCACAAACACACACAAACACACACACACACACACATACACACTTTCCTTCTCTCTCTCTCTCTCTCTCTCTCTCTCTCTCTCTCTCTCTCTCTTTCTCCCTCTCTCTCTCTCTCTCTCTCTCTCTCTCTCTCTCTCTCTCTCTCTCTCTCTCTCTCTCTCTCTCTCTCTCTCTCTCTCTCTCTCGCTGCTGCCGCTGATAGTGATAGGCTTAGGCAGCTAGTTTACGCGTGCCGTTGTTCATTACCTTTTTTCTTTCGCTGCGGCTTTATTCATTTGGTGACAGTGCGACCAGAATGGCTATGCGTTATACATACATATACATAAATAACATAAGAAGAAAATGAATCTTTCTATTGTTCTTGCGGTGATCAGCGGTGTGTAGTCGACCGTGTCAGATAGAGTTAGAAACAATTTTGCTGAATTAGGCTAGTTCTTGGAAATCTGAACTCTTTCACCGTGTTTGCGTAGGATCAAAAGACATTGCCTGGACATGCACACCACGTACGCCGGACTAGATATAGGTATTACCGAGCTGGGTACAAAAGAAGTACAGAACCGACTTTCCGCTTGCTTATGATGTAATCATCTTACGAGCAGGTGTCAGATGTAGCTCCTCTTAAGGGAGCGCGAGGATTGATCCGATCCTCGAAGCGAAGCTGGTTGTGTTTCTCAACACAATTGTATAGTCGATGTTACCTCGGATGTGCCGACCTTACCGTTCACAGTTGTGTTCATTTTACCACAGCCCCACGTGACGCACGAAGGAACCAATTTGCTGCATCCCTATACCAATTGTTCCGGGTCGCGAGGCACACTGCGTAAAAAGTTAAATTTTCACCGTTCGCGTGAGACTCGGGTTGAAGCCGGGCTTTCCGCATCCGTAGGAACGCCACCACCCTTCAAGGATCAAGACGCAGATACAGCTCCTAAAGCGGTGGGAGTTGAGTAGATCAGCTCACCAGCAAGTGGTCAAAGACCGAAAATCCCATTCACTGCATGCATGTTTTCCTCGTGCTGCGTAAGCGTGTAGAGAAATAGTGAAATACTGATACCACCCGTGCCCAGCTCCGACAAAACAT